CCTCAATTAAGCTTCTCTTGAACCTGAATGATGTTTATCATGCCTTGATAATCATCCAAGCTTCGATTTGCTTGTTGTATGTTGTTTTCAACCCAAATCTGCTCAATAAGGCCATTTATAGCTTCACGCATCTTCTTAGCTTTAGCTCGCGTGACTGGACCTCCTTGGGTGTGTAATGGATCACATGACGTGGTAGATATGCTGTTGTCTTGATTCCCATCATTCCCTCTCTGCTCAAAAGGATTTGTCCTCAAATCGTCACCTACATCAAAAGGAGAAAGATCAGAAACATTAAAAGTAGCACTAACATTATACTCACCAGGAAGCTCCAACTTATATGCATTGTTGTTTATCCTTGCAATCACTTGAAATGGTCCATCGCCTCTTGGTTGCAACTTAGAATGCCTTTGTGCAGGGAATCGCTCCTTCCGCATATGCACCCAATCTCTAGGTTCAAAAACAACTTCCTTGCACCCTTTGTTGGCCTGATTTGCATATTGCTCAGTTTGTCGCTCTTGCATCAAAACAGCGCCAATGCCAATACTTGATGCATCACATTCAATTTCAAAAATTTTAGTAAAATCTGGTAAAGCAAGTAATGGTGCAGAAATTAAATTCTCCTTAATGAAATTGAAAGCATTCTCTTGTTCACTTTCCCACTTAAATCCAACACTTTTTTTCATGATTTTAGTCAATGGAGCTGCAATTGTGCTGAAGTCCTTGATGAATCTCCAGTAGAAACTTGGCAAACCATGAAAACTCCGCACCTTAGAAATATTCTTAGGTGTTGGCCATTCTTTAATAACCTTAATCTTTTCTTTGTCTACTGCAATTCCATCAGCTGAAACAACATACCCTAAAAAAACAATCTGATTTGTGCAAAAGGGACACTTTTTAAGGTTAGTAAATAACTTTTCTTTTCTCAACACCTCTAGTACCATTCGCACATGCTCAATATGTTCAATTAAATTCTTGCTATATATCAGAATGTCATCAAAATAAACAACCACAAATTTGCCAATGAAAGCACGCAAAACATGATTCATTAATCGCATGAATGTACTAGGCACATTAGTTAATCCAAACGGCATAACTAACCACTCATATAAACCATGTTTCGTTTTAAAGGCTGTTTTCCATTCATCTTCTTCCTTCATCCTAATCTGATGATATCCACTCTTTAAATCAATTTTAGAGAATATGCAAGAACCATGCAACTCATCTAACATGTCATCTAATCTAGGAATAGGGTGACGATACTTTATAGTGATTTTGTTGACCGCGCGACAATCAACACACATACGCCAAGTCCCATCCTTCTTCGGCACAAGTAGCACTGGAACGGCACATGGACTCATGCTTTCCTCACATGTCCCTTTTTCATGAGTTCTTCGACCTGCCTTTGAAGTTCTTTCGTCTCATTGGGATTGCTTTGATATGCTGGTCGGTTTGGAATTGTTGCACCAGGAATGAAGTCAATTTGATGCTCGATTCCTCTTACTGGTGGTAAACCATTAGGAACATCATCTGGAAACACATCCTTGAAGTCCTGCAAAAGAGATTTAACAACACTAGGCAAAAAATCATTAAGTTCGTTAGTGTTGAAATAAGCATCTTTATACAGAAGCACAAACATA